GAGGCCAGGATTTTAGTTGAAAAGTTGGTACAAATAGGAACTGATTTGCCCATTAATAAAAGCCACAAGGACCTGAGGCGTATTTACTCGAGCACCCAGGGATTTGCACATCTTGAACAACAAAAGCATCAACTGAATGTGCAAGCAACCAGCAGAAACATGCACTTAATCATCCCCCCCCCCCCCCCCCCCCCCCCCCGTCGCTCCTCGTTCTGGATTGGCCACTCCGACAACTTCTCTAGAACGCTTTGAACTGGTGTTAAAGATGATGTGGGCATAGTTTTAGACTTCGGATGTTTTGGTTTATGGTCGAATGAAAAGTTGACAGATTTACTAAGCACCACCAAAACCACGCCTCCGTCAGATCTGGCAGATTCTGATTGGATCAGTAAAACAATGTGTCATCTCTTTTAACGCTACGTGAGACCAGACCTGGTGGAAACATTTAAAGTCATATTACTTAATATATTCTATAGGATTATAATAAAGTAATTAATATTTTGATTTTGCAGATTGGTCACATCTTATTTATTGACTAACACTTTGTTTGATTAGCTTTATTAAAACACAGGCTCGTTGCAAGCTTTTCAAAACTGTGGGGGATGTTTTCTGTGCCTAAAATAATTTCATGTTATTCATCTTGTTAGTTTAATTTCCATAATAGCGGAGCAGGTGCGTATTTTAGACACGTCACGCATGTCTCCATTTTAAACATGTTTAAACTGTTCAGAATACAAATCCAGGCTCTGTCTCGTTAGATTGGTGTAACTAAAGTTTGTACTGAATGAAACTTTATATTAAACCATGTTGAAAAGAAAAGGATCCGATTAAATCGTTTCCCCCTCATTTACAGTCACGGAGTACAGCACAGTGCGCATGGCTCTGGGGTTAATCAAGTTTAATTGTTTCTCTTTGCAACAATCTTCACAGGAAGGTAAAACAGTTAAATGGCAGGTTACAGATATTTCTATTTGACTGTTTATTTTGATGGATAAACTCAAGGATGCTGGCTGTTTTTGAAAGAACAAGAAACTCGGTCTCTCTGAGGGACGTGTCACTTGGAAAAATGTTCGCTGATTATGAAACTTTGGCTGAATGGCGCTTGTTCCCGTCTCTAATATGGAGACGCATGACGCATCCAGTTTGAGGCAGAATAGCCTCTTCAGCTCAGAAAGCACCTGTAGAGACATTTGATCACGCACAAAGTTTATGTGGAGCAGAAGCGGTCGGGCCACGGCAGGTGAAATGTTCCTAGCCTACATGAAGTGTAACTGTTTAATTGTAACATTAATGTGTTACTGGACACGCTGGTCTGGTTGGTTAGTTTGAAGTGGAAAACACACACACACACACACACACACACACACACACACACACACACACACACACACCAATTAAAATAATGCTGATGGACTAGAAGACAGGTGATGGTTTACGTATTTAAATGATGATCAGGCTGCTGTAAAATGTAATCTCCACCCACATCCAGACACAATTATCCTCTATTCTTTCTCTATTTGCTCTGCTCTTGTGTGGGCTGACGTAGCTGACGGTGCGCGCGGCGCGCCTAACGGCTGTGATGCATATTTTACGCATTTGGAGAGGTGGTCTGGATGCTTTGCTTTTACTGGAAGATGGTCCACTTAACGCACGGGTGTAGACTGCATATTAATGACTAATGAATGAAAATTAAATTGTGAGTTTTTACTTCATATTTTAGGAATAAAAATGACAGGGGAACACATTTATAACATCTTTTTAAACGAAAATTTCTAGCACGACCGGCCTGCTTCACTTAAGTCACTGCTTATTAAGGTCCGTCCAAAATTACCGTGGCCCACCCAAAAATGAAAACCTGGCGCCGCGCCAGTTATAAACCTCTGCTCTCCTGCTCTCCTTGAAACCCGACATCGGCTGTCAGAAGAGGGAGGGGAAGAAGGAGATGAGGCAAACAGAGTGAGTGTGACGTAAAGAAACCAGACTGGTGTGGAGGTGAGCAAAACGCAGGGCCGGCTCTAGGTGATTTGGTGCCCAAGGCGAGAGTGCCCAGAGAGGAGTCAGGAGCAGGTGCAGTGGATGAAGGCTGATTACAGGAACAGGTGAGAGGAATGAAGTTGATTGTGATGCTGACTGAGGTTGCTAGGGAAAACAGGGCTTGGCTGGAGCTTGGTGAGGGGACCAGGTGAGCTGAATGAAGAGTAAATGAGGAGGCAGAGGAGGGTGAGCCCTTTGTTATTTAGTTTTTATAATTTAGGTAAGTGTAAAGGTGTGCACTCTTACAGGAAAGATTCATGTGGCAGATGACAGACGATAGGTTATAGGTCCGTGTGCCGGTCTGCTGGGGCACGTTTAGGGTTGCATCTGGCTTAACCGGATCTATGCCCACAGCGTCTCAGGGCAAATATAAAACCACCAACTCAGGGAATTGAGGTCACTACTTGTGGTTGTCTCTGCTTGGCAGACGTTACAGCTCTTCCCAGTGGGATTATCCATCAACACGTGTTGCAGGAGAGTGTTGGTGGTATCCTTTCTTTGAGTCATAAACATGTAAGCTATGTTCCCAATGGGGAACGGAGAAGATGAACTGCATCTACAATTGTTGCAGTGGCTCACACGATTCATCGTCAGAGATGAGTGAACGCCACATTTCTCTAACCAATCCAGGACTGGTGTCAAAAAATCTGTCCGTTCTGCAGTCCCAGCTGTAACGATGGAATAATCTGGCTTATCTGGCTTCATCTAAGGAGAAACGTCTTCCTGGATTATTCAAAACTTTCCGTAAAAAACCTGAAAAGGATGGAATTGCTGGGGAAAGCAGCCAATCGTCTCTGGTGCAACTTTGGAGAGTAACATGGACAACTTGCAGCTTTGCAATCGCTTGAACCGAAGCATTCATCCATCAGTTATTTTGCCCTTTTGACAGGTGGTAAAAGTTCTTTGTTGGACTTTTTAAAAAAGTTTCACTTTTTTTGTTTTCCTTTGTGACATTTTCTGCTTTGGAGGGCTGAGTTTTGTTCATTTTCTTATGTGATTGGACAGAAACATTTTCTGTCTGTTTATAGTCTGTCTCCAGTGACATGTGAAGAGGCCTCTCTTCTATGAGAAGAGGTTTGTGCCATGTTGAAACCCTCCCATACTTAACCCAAGACTCCCAGTTTGTACTATTGTTGTATCATGAACTTTGACCTCACCCTTCACTGGTGAGACCAGCAGCGCTTCCTCTTGAATTTTATTAGAACAGGATGCAAAACATGGATGTGATTTTAGGGTGTAGAAAGGAGAGATGTCCTCTAAACCCAGTTGATTAAGGAGTAATAAATGTTTACCTTTAACATAGAAATGTATATAACTGTTCTCTTTCTTTCTTTATTGAACATGCATGCAAATCAATAGACAACCCAAAGCATTCAAAAAGTATCCAAAAAGAAACCCACACATATGTACATGCATATATACACATACACACATACATATATATACACACACACACACATATATATATATATATATATATATATATATATATATATATATATATATATATATACATATATACACATACACATGTAGAACATGTTCAATGGGAAGGGAACGAAGCTCTGGTAGCTTATATAATCCCCCCCAAATCAAATTTCAAGAAAGACAAAACAAAAAAATATATATATTTTCCCTACACTGAGTGTCATTGCCATTTTCCTATAACATGTTTTATCCTCAATCACACAAACCAAATTTACATTTTCTCATGTTTCAACCCATCCCCCCCCCATCCCCCCCCCCCCCCCCGCCATGTTCACAGCTCCCAGTTCACCAGCAATAGACAATTACAATCAAATGCAACACCCTTACAACTTTTCCTCCTCCTCCATGTAATTGATTAGTATAATTTTTTTATACTTCTCTTTAAACTTATGCAATGAAGGACTTTGCTTTAGATCCTCACTTAGCTTATTCCAAACTCTTGCACCCGTAACAGAAATACAAAATGACTTTATTGTTGTTCTAAAATATGTATGCCTAAAGTTAAGTTTGTATCTGAAATTATATACGTTATCTGGTTTTATAAATAGCATTAATAATTTGTGTGGTAATAATTTCCTATGCACTTTAAACATGAATGTCGCTGTATATAACTGAATTAAATCTTTAAATTTTAGTATTTTAGAATATATAAATAACGGATTAGTGTGTTCTCTAAATCTAACATTGTGAACGACTCTCAGGGCTCTTTTCTGTATGATAGACAAGGGTACAATAGATGTTTTATAAGTGTTACCCCATACCTCTACACAGTAAATAAGATAGGGATAAATCAATGAATAATAAAGGACATGGAGTGATTTATAATCCAAGTACTGCCGAGCTTTATTCATAATGTAGATGCTTCTCGCAACCTTATTATATACATGTTTAATTTGTGGTTTCCAACTTAATTTATTATCAATTACTATTCCAAGGAACTTATGTTCTGTTACTTGCTCAATTTCACATCCATCTATTTGCAGCTTAACCTCAGTTTTATTAGCCATACCAAACAACATACATTTTGTTTTTGCTATATTTAATGTAAGCTTATTTTCAATAAACCACTCTTTAATGACGCACATTTCAATTTGGACCATACATTTAACCAGCTAGGTTTAGTGGAACCAGTTAAGTAAATTCAACATTTCATTTCCTAAAGTGTACTCCAATCAGGTTTGAGCTTTCAGAAATATTGAAGACACTTACTTCTTCCATATCTGACCATGTTGGATTGGGTCACATTTATCTCTTAATGAACTAAAGCTTCATTTTAAATGTGCATTCATTCAGCTGAAGCAGGTTGAATTTGTTTACTGATATGAAACATGACAGAAATACGAGTAAATCCGTAAGATGGCAAATGTAAATGTGTTTTATATTTACTGACTAGTGTATGAGATTCATGCTTTATCAACATGATTTATGGTGGTTTACTAGAGAAAAACCCAACTTTTTACCTTTGTCATCTCTTCCAGCTTCTTCTTGGTCTTCTCCTGCCTTATTCTGTCAGTTTTTGCTACCATCAAAGAGCACAAAGACAAGTCGGAGAATGCCTTGTACATCCTGGTGAGTATCACGTTATGAGTTTGAACAATTGGCTGCAGGAGACCGTAAGCTGCCATTAAAACAAATCCAGTTTAAATGCTGCCTTCTGCACTCACCCCAGCCTCATCCATCCTGTTATAGGATGATGACTACATTATTTGAACCAATAGATGCTCAGCCAACACAGCCCAATAAAACTGATGGATGTATATTCTGACCACAAAAATGCAGCAAGAGCATTTGTTGTATTTGTTTCCAGATCTGGTGAAATTATTAGTTCTCCATAAAAAGCAAATAAGCACATTAAGAGATCATTCAGAAGATTGTAATGTCTTATTTTTACTTTGATAAGCTTAAAATGTATTTTTTGTTTTACATTACTTTTTGAGTTACTTTAATCTTAAAAATGTGAAATCGGATCAGTGGCGGCTCCAGAAATGTTTTTCTGCAGGTGCTATGAAGGAGCTAGTCTTTGTATTGAGGGTGTGTTGAAGGAAGCGGTCATGCCCCAGACAAGCTGGTTCCCAAAGTCAGAGACTCTCTTGGTCAGCTTGCTTCTCACACCAGTCAGGGATCTTGGAGTGACCTTTGACCCTGCTCTCACCCTGGATTCTCATGTCAGTTCTCTTGTTCGCTCTTCCTTCTTCCATCTCAGGAACGTTGCTAAACTGAGTCCCATTCTGTCTCTCTCTGAACTTGAGACAATTCTCCCAACACATTCTCACTCCCAGCGTGTCAAAAACAAACGCTTGGTCAGCCACCCTCCGCATCAGACCCCTGCCGCCAAAAGTGCCCTTTTTCATTACTTATGTGCGAAAAGGGGTTTTTCCCTTATTTGACTGCAGATCCCAATGCAGCGTTACACTGACGCGATGGGATGTCCGCAGCCAGGGCACCAAACAAGCTCATTGTACCTCACCTTAACCTTATCCTCTTATTTAACCTTCCCCTCACCCCCATCCTAACCTTAACCATCGTGCTAGCTAACAAGTTAGTGATATGTCGATCGCTCTAAAAGCCGGCTCTATGAAGTGAATGGCGGGAGCCGCCTCGTCATTGGTCGAGTTTGGACCGAGCCAACGCGAGGGGGAGGTTTCAACTACCAAGGTGGAGGTTAAAAGAAGAGGGAATTTGTAACCTCCCCCTCACCAGATGGTATGTTCTAACGTTCCCTTGGGCGGCAAATACGAAAATTCACAGTCAGACTCTGACTGTCAGAGTCAGAATGCACGGGAAACAAACGCTTGATCACAATGAGAGTAATGTTTTAGGTAGCAAGAGGGTTAAGGTTAGGATGAGGGAGAGGGGAAGGTTAAAAATAGTGAAGCGTTAAGGTTTAGGTGCGGTTAAATGAGCTGGTTCGGTGCCGCATCAGCGGATATCTCATCACGTCAGTTTTACGCTGCACTGAGATCTTTAGTTACAAAAGGGAAAAACCCCTTTTCGCACTTAAGTAACGAAAAAGGGCACTTTTGGCGTCAGGGGTCTGACGTGGAGGGTGGCTGACCAAGCGTTTGTTTTTGACGCGCTGGGAGTGAGAATGTGTTGGTTCTCCACACCTTCATCTCCTCACGCTTAGACTACTGTAACTCTCTTTTACGTGTCTGAGCAGAACCTCCCTGAACCGTCTACAGGTGGTTCAGAATGCCTGTGCTCAGCTTCTGACCAAGTCCTCCAAACACACCCACATCACCCCGCTTCTCCTCCAACTTCACTGGCTGCCAGTCAACTTCAGGGTTCATTTCAATATCCTGGTTCTCGTCTATAGGGGCTTACATGGACAAGCACCATCTTACATTGGTGATCTTCTTAGTCCCTACACCCCCAGCAGGTCCCTGAGGTCCAGTGATCAAAGCCTACTGGTTGTGCAGCACCAGGCTAAAGACCAAAGGTGACAGATCATTTGCTGCTGTGGCCCCCAGACTCTGGAACTCTCTCCCCCTGAGCCTGAGATCAGTGGACTCAGTGGTCTCCTTCAAAAAGCAGCTGAAGACTCACTTGTTCAAGCTGGCTTTTGTATGACCTTCTTCACCACTCTCTCTTTATTCTGCTCTCCCCACCTATTCCACCTTCCTCAGGATCCACTGATTTCCCTCTTTCCTATTCACTCTCTCTCTTTCTTAACATTTTTTTAATCACAATTGTCTATTTTTGCCCATTTTAAATGCTTTTTTATATTTTTACATTTTTTGCTTTTGTGAAGCGCCTCGTGATTTTTACCTTGAGAGGCGCTATAGAAATAATACTTTCTTCTTCTTCTTCTTCTACCTTTTGTTCTCTAAAACACCTTCAACACTAGCAGATACACATGCGTGCACAAAACCTCAACAACACCTAAAACAATCATTAATGTACATCATAAACATCTGAACAATCGCTGACTTTTCCATGAAATCATAAACACATACAGCCACACAGAAAACCATCTAGTGTTGCAAGGTGTCAGAACCCAAGCCCCCAAACCGGCCTCTCCCAGCTAACCGGCCTCCATCTTGGACCACATTTCCCAGCAAGCTCCTCGCGGGAACTCCCGGCATTCTCCCAGTCACACCCAAGCCTATATATGGAAGACGCCGCACCGGCTCTTCACTCAGTCATCGTTTCATTGAAACCCCTGATCAGAGTTCTCTACCGAATAATCCAGACGTCAAACATCCTTACCGAGTTCAACTCCCGTACCCAGTCGACCATCGTGACAGGATGACTGAGTCCGTAGATCCAGCGGAGTTCGAACGCATGAAAAGAAAGACGGAGCAAATGGAAAATGAACTCATTCAGCTCCACGCCCTGATCGATCGGCTCCACACCAAACAAAACTCCCAGACCGATCTCATCCTACAATTATCCACAGCCCTCCATGCTCTCCAGCAGCAAGCCCTCGCTCCACCAACAGAGGGGCTGCACTTTAGTCTCCCAGAGAGGTGGAACGGAGAGACGGGGAGCCCAGACGGTCTACTCGCCACCCTCGACATGCAGTTTGAGTGCCAGCCAGGGCGCTTCCCCACTGCGCGCTCTCGGGTGGCGCATCTCACCTCCCTGTTCTCCGGACGCGCGGCTGAGTGGGCCGCTGCGCTTTATAATTCCAAATCACCGGCTTGCAATGACTATGCTGCTTTTGTGTCCGCCCTCAGAAAGACTTTTGTTCCACCCAGCAGCGAAGTGGGAGCAGAAACACAACTCCTAAAGCTCCGCCAGCGGGAGCGCACGGTGTGCGCTTATGCGTCGGAGTTGCGCACCATCTCCGCCAAGCTGCGGTGGGATGACTCTGCCCTCCGAGCCGTCTTCTTGGAGGGACTGGCGACCTACATCCGTGATGAGATGGCGGGAAAGGAACTGCCCCAGACCCTGGATGAAGTGGTCGATTTGGCGCTGCGCATGGATCAGCGGGTTCTGGTTCGGCCCAAGCCCTTCACTCGCCCATCCAGGGCACCTGGCCCTCTTCCTCGTTCCCCCACGCCTGCTCCCGGACCCGCTTCTACTGATGAGCCCATGCAATCAGGCCACCTTCCTCCAGAGGAGAGACAGCGACGGTGGCGCGAGGGTCTCTGTGCCTATTGTGGCTCCTCCCACCACAGATGCCTGAACTGTCCATTACGTTTGGGAAACGAAGGAACCCACTGAGTATCGGGGTCGCTCAGCCTGGGTCACCTTCAGCCCCCGCCTCTTCAAATCGACTCCTTCTTCATGTTACCCTCCTTCATGGTGAGACCTCACTTCAGATGCACGCGCTGTTGGACTCGGGGGCCGCTGACAATTTCATGGACATGGATCTGGCTAAGCGCCTACGGATCCCCATGACCCCCTTGGAGAGAGTTGTGCCTGTAACCTTGGTGGATGGTAGGCCCCTCCAACCCTATCCGATCCAAAACCGAACCCAGCCACTCCAGATGATTGTCCAAGGCCACCGAGAGACCCTCCAGTTCCTGATCATATGTGCTCCCTCCTCTCCTCTAATCCTGGGATTTCCCTGGCTCCGTCTCCACGACCCCCGGATTTCCTGGTCCCAGGGCCGCATTTTGGAATGGGGGACCCAGTGCCAGGCCCACCTCTCTCCTCCTACATCCATGCCAGACCGCCCGGACGGTGACACTGGCCAAACACCACCCAATCTGCCACTGCCCTACCGGGACCTGGCTGCGGTGTTCGACAAGCGGCGCGCCACCACACTGCCGCCTCACCGCCCGTACGACATGGAAATCAAGCTGCAACCAGGAACCAGTCCACCCCGGGGGCGCCTTTTTTCTCTCTCTCCTGCCGAGTCCAGAGCCATGGAGGAATATATTGACCAGGCCCTCCAGCAGGGTTTCATTCGACCTTCCTCCTCCCCGGGTGCCGCAGGCTTCTTCTTTGTCAGGAAAAAGGAGGGTGATCTCCGCCCCTGTATCGATTACCGAGGTCTGAACAAAATCACAGTCAAAGACCGTCATCCTCTGCCGCTCCTCACATCTGCCCTGGACGCCATCTCCCAGGCGCGGATCTTCACCAAGCTGGACCTCCGGAGCGCCTACAATCTGGTCCGTATTAAAGCTGGAGATGAGTTGAAGACCGCTTTCATCACACCCACCGGTCACTGGGAGTACCAGGTAATGCCCTTCGGGCTGTGCAATAGCCCCGCCGTTTTTCAACGCCTCATAAACGATGTCCTCCGCGACATGTTGGGACGGTGGGTGTTTGCCTACCTGGATGACATCCTGATCTACTCCAAGTCCGAGGCCGAACACCTCCACCATGTTCGCGCTGTTCTAACCCGGCTCCTGGACAATAACCTGTTCTGTAAGCCCGAGAAGTGCTCCTTCCACCAGCGGTCCGTATCATTCCTGGGCTACATGATTTCAGATAAAGGACTAACCATGGACCCTCAGAAAGTCCAGGCGGTGAGAGACTGGCCCCTCCCGACGAGCCTGAAACAACTGCAGAGTTTTCTGGGTTTCTGCAACTTTTACCGCCGTTTTATTAAGGACTTTAGCACCATTGTGGCACCTCTCACTTCTCTCACCCGACCAAGCCCTCCGAGCCAACCG